CGTGACGGCGTACCTATTGGACGCGAAGCTTGATGACGACATACTGAATCACATGGCCTACACTCTGGGACAGGCACGGCTCGTTCAGGAACTCCAGATCGGATTCGAAAATCCTCCCAGCTTTGACACGACAAGTCCCCTCGGCCAAGTATGGCCATGCTTCTTGCGTGGGACATATCCGCAACTTCGGCGGCTGACACTCGACAATAGTTGCGCCACAGAGGACGAACTGGTGGGGTTTGTGGAAGCCCATCGCGACACACTCACGTCCCTGACACTGCGCGGTGTGGAACTGAAATCGATGGACATCCCGCCGTATCCCCGCTACACCGAACGCCCTAGCTCGGCGGTTCGATGTCTCTGGCGACTTGGCCAAGTGGGGCTTCTCGAGGAAGTTGCCCTCCACGATGTGTTCTCCGACTCGTGGAGCCAAGGGTGGGTGGTATCGCGTGGCGGGGGTGAGGGTTGTTTCCGCCGACAAGTGGAGAAGTATATCTGTCATCGCGGTCCATTTCCATTTCCCGGTCTTGAGTGGGTGCCCGAGGAGCACATGATGCCGGCACTCAGTAACAATCGACGGGAGCGGGAAATGGTGGGTGGCGCGATAGAGCAGTGGCATCAGGAGCTAGACCAGGTGTCCGACGCGACGTGGAGGTTTGAGGGACGCCTCCTTTGTTAAAGTAACGAAATGGGGGTGGCGGTCGTTCATGTCGACGAGACCGTGATATACTCGAGTTTCTTCAGGGTGATTAGTTTCGGCGCACTTCCCTTCTCGAATGATTTGGTATTTATCTCTTGACCGTCACTTTCCTCGCGGTCTGCGCGTGGCTTCGACTGTCCGGCCCAGCGTGAGCCGACGATCTCGAAGCGCGGCGAATATAAAAATACAAAGCATCAGGAGGCGCGCCGCTTGAGCCATACTCTCTGATTTTATCATTCTTGTATGACGAAAGCAGAAAAACTGTTTGGAGGAAGATTGTCGTAGGAAGACTGTTTAGAGGAAGACTATTTAGAGAATAGATAAGG